AGTGAGTGAGTGAGTGAGTGAGTGAGTGAGTGAGTGAGTGAGTGAGTGAGTGAGTGAGTGAGTGAGTGAGTGAGTGAGTGAGTGAGTGAGTGAGTGAGTGAGTGAGTGAGTGAGTGAGTGAGTGAGTGAGTGAGTGAGAAAATGAATGAACGAATGAATGAACGAATTGATGAACAACTAATCTAATTATATAAATATGTATAATAATCAAACTCAAATAGAACATATACACATAAAACCATTTGTTTTTATTATTTGCCAAGCTTTAACAAGATCTTTGCAAACGACAAAGTCAGAAAAACAACATAAACAAGCCAATATTTTTTTACAATAAATTTCTCTTATATCAACTCATAAGAACATCAGACGCTGAACAAAAAATCGAAATGATGAAAAAAAATTCTTCAAATGTAACCATTAATGTACTTTAGGCTTGCTTTTTTTAAAGTTTGTATACGTTCATGCCTGTAGGTTCTATGTGTTTAGTTTTAAACAGTGATATATAATATAATGATAATTTGTCTTTTAGGCATTGAATGAAAAAACGAATGAATGAGTAAAATTTTTATTTATTTTTATATTAAATTTATATAAAAATTTGATTACGAATGAACAGCGATTGCTAATTGTATCTATCAGTTTATGAACTAATTAAAAATTTTACTCTTTATACATTCTTCAGAAAGATGGAAAATTTAATTTCATGTACTTTAAAAAAGAATGAACCATTATTGAAATCGACAAGAAGGAAATCAACGAGCGTTGCCGACATGCTGCTCAACAAAAATCTCAACTGCACCAACAACCGCAACAGACGCAAACATTTCAATTCATTGAATCTGCCGGTCCAAACAAATAAAACATCATGGTCGGAATGTTCATACAAAAGTGAACGACAATCACGGAGGCTACAGAAATGTTGCAACATTGTTAAAGCTCTGGTAATCAATGTAAAGAAATCCTCAAAACCGGCTGCTTTTCATATCAGAGAGACAACTATTGAACCTATTTCTGCTATGCTATCATCAACACAAATGTTAAAATCATTGTTTTTAACATACAAGTGCAATCGTGACAATAATAATGTTAATAGAAGCATTAAAAAAACATGCTCACCCACCGATGAACCTGACGCAACAAACCACACCACTACTCCAGAAACACCCTACTCCAACGATGGATGCAGTTTCCTTCTTTTGATATCTCTATCCTATACAACGACAACATTTCCTAGCAATGAAACTACGCATGTGAATGTGATAGTTGCCTGGCATCATGTGTCTATTTCTTTGTTGGCAATTACGCTCATTTCTGCAAACCTGATGAAACTCCAGGTTAATTTAACTGTCGTTTCTCTTGATTTTACGCGGATATTGGTATTTGCAAGAACATCAATGCATTTCAACCTCGATTTCAACATTTTTGTTACATTTGAAATATTTTTTCAAATCAGTATGTACCCTACTTTAATAAATCTAGACACATTTGTCAATGAAGAAAAATTTTACAAGAAAATTATTTTAGCTAGGTTTAACAAATTCTAATATTTGGAACGCTGGCATATATTATGACAAATGAATCAAACTTTAATTTTAAATTTATAAATTTAAATTTCAGCATCTCCAGGCAGGGCTTCCATTCACTGATCAACATGCTGACGCTATCAACCAAAATAACAACAACGTACAATTCCCTGTGAACCTTAGCGTTCAAATCCAACCACTTCCAGCTGAACTTCAGAACATGCAAAACCTTCAGCAATGGAACCAACGACAGCAACATTTTCCACAGCCATTGCTGCCAATCTCTTCCTTGTTAACGATACAAAAGCAGATTTCTCAGCAGTCTGCTCTAGCACCGCTCCCGCTATTAGTCCCTCAGTCACCTTTGAAATCCGGACCCGTCCCAAATGTTCAACCCCTGATTGCACAACAACAACGTCAACAATTTGACCAACAATGGCAAACAAAGAAACAAAAAACTGAACAGCAAAGGCTTTTAATGCCACATTTGAAAAAAATTTTGGAGAGCAAACATTTAGCTGATAAACTCAAGAAGCAGCATTCTAAATTGTTAAAGCAAAGTACTTTAATGAAAGCAAACAAAAGAAATCAAAAGTTACTTTCTAAAAAGTTTATGGACCTGCAAAATAACGTTAAACCACATACACACGAAATGTTGATTCAAGGACAAGCTGCGAGACATGCGACAATATCCAATACTAGTTATCCAATCTCAACAGCACCTCATCCCAGGCCAACAGCGTCATCATATCCACTGCCAACTTCATCTGCATATCCCATTCCAAGCCCATCCTCTTATCCCACAACATCTGCGTCCTTCTTTCCAATGCCAAATAATTCATCTTATCCCACGCCAGCCACCTCATCATATCCAATACCAAATATATCATTTGGTCTTGTGCCAGCTGCACCATCGTACACAAAGCCCGACGCTTCACCATATTCCATTGCAACTTCATCGCCATATTTTATACAAACTCCAGCAGCTTATTCTGTGCCAAATGAACCATCTTACCAAATGTCCAACGCATCTTCTTATCCCACCGCAAATACATTAATGTATCCATCACCAACTGCACTAATGTATCCTACTCCAACTTTATCCAATTATCATATACAGAATGCATCAAGTTATCCCATGGCAGATGCATCATGTTATCCCATGCCAGACGAATCAACGCATCTCATGCCAGAGGAATTGGCGTATCCATCAGCAGTAACAGCTTATCAATCAACCAATTCAGCTTATCCAATGACTACTGCTGTAGCCACTAATCCAAAAAAGATGTCGTCCATCGTACCGACCTCCACATCATTATTTATTCCGGTAACAAAAACAATGAAAACAGCATCAACAGCAGCAGCAAGGCCAGCTACAACGCCAACAACAACTGAATCACTGACAACAGCCACGGTTACACCTACGATGTCTGGCACACCTGTATCGGCGCCAAAAACTCCAAAGCCACGAACCAAAATATTCCGCAATAAAACAAATTGTTTTGAAAAACTCTGCAATCACAAAACTCGTGCAATGGACCTCAGTGATAAGAACAACGAAAAGGGCAAGAAGAGCATCTACCGTCAACGTAGCAAAACCATTTTGTGTAACAAATTATGCCAAACAAATACACGGGCCGTCACTCCAATTAAATTACTGTGCGACAGGATGAAAGAAGAAATTTCAAACGAACGTCATAACAGCAAATTAGGTAAAATTCGCTGTGAATAGTGATGTCCTTTTGAATGGGGATTTTGTTATAAATGTTGATTTCGTTATAAATGTTGATTTCGTTATAAATGAATGATGATAGATTCGACAATTTTTGTAAAATAAATCCGCAAAAAATATTTGATTGATAAGAAACAATAACTATAACATTTTGATAATGGAGATGATGATGATGGAGATGATGATGATGATGACAATGATGATGATGACAATAAACTAATAATATTATAAGCAAGCACTGTTAATGTTCATTCACTGTCCATCACATTGGACATCACATCACATTGAATCATGTTTGCTGATCAGGATCGTGTGGAAGAAGAGACTTCGAAAGAAGGAAGCCGATGGTAGAAAGTCCAAGTAATGAAAGTTTGTCTCTTCGGCGCATTGTTAAATTTAACCGCCACAAAAAAGCGGGTAAGAACCTCAGGAACGAACAAGATGAACCTTACGCCATCGATAACGTTGGCGGGAACAACGTTAACTACGCCAATTTCGATGACGATTCAAGCTACGGTAACAGCTGCAGTGTCATTGATTTCAACGTCACTATCGACAAAAATGCCCAAAGTAAACATCTCAGAAATATTCTGAAAAAAAGAACAAGGACGTTGCATCAGAAATTGTTGGAGAACCGTCGCAAATCGCAGAGATTGGAAATGTTGAAATTATTGAAAAGTCAATACGACATATTGAGGAATGTTTTGCATGCTAATAAATCAAACAATGCCGATGAATTTGTAATGAAATATCATCCATCGAAGGGAAATCTCTCCAGCAAAAATATAAAAACTGTAAAATCTTTGGCAAAATATTTGTACGAGCATTACAATATCGGTTGCCTGAATAACATCAGCAACAGCAACAATGATAGTCGAAAAAATTATGAAACGCTTTTTAAAACATACGGGCGAGAAACTTCCAACACCACTCCAATTACGGTTGCTGATCAAATCACTGGCCAAATCTCTGTTGAGAAATCACAGAGCGGCAAAAACGAACCTTCCAAAACTTTCTCATTTTTAAACGAAAACTTCGAAACATCAGCAAACAAATCTGAGAAAGCCATGCAAGATGTTAGCGAGAATGCAAACAAAATTGAAAAGGTCAAACAGCTGCCTGGCCAACAAAAAGCAGCGGCACTTAATTCAGAGGCTTTGGCCTCCAGTGGTAGTGTCAAATTATCCGAATCACTTTTATTTAAAAAGGAGATTATTTCCAGCCAGAAAGGTTGTTTTCATATGCATAATTTTATTTTATTATTTCTTCATACTTTTAAAAATATTTAATTTTGTTAACAAATACATGTATTATGTTAGAAGTGTAAACTAACTAATTGTGAATAAACAATGGCAATGCAGTGTGCGTGTGAAAGTTGGAAAAACTTAATATGTAATAAAATTTTTAAATATAAATTTTTCAATTGAACACATCTATTCTCAATATTTTTTTTTACGTTAAACCACTAGCTATTTTATAAATGTTAAAAATTTCCTGTAAATAACAAACAATTGTATCGCTAACTTTACTCACGAAAGAACCAGCAACGATACTGGCTGAGGAAAAGTGTATTCAAACGAACACAGTGGGACTGGTTCACCTGGACAATAACCACAACAATGTTAGATGTGCTTTTGGTTTTAATCAACGTTGAAACTACGTTTGATTGTCTGAAGAAGAAAATTTATTTATTTCTTAATTTTAAACCCCTTTGTTGAGTACTGACTACCTCTGATAATAATGCTATCTATGATTTACAGTCCATAGGTTTTGGTATCTATCGATCTTTACCATTTTTTGTACCATGATTTTTAGCATCGATATGACATAGCCGTTATTATTATGTATTATCAACGTTGATGGAAGGGTTTTTAAAATTTGGATTACATTGATACCAGCTGCTAGAGTGTTTAAACAAATTGAAGGAAGCGATCGGTGCCATGCAGTTGCTCGCCAAGTATCTGGACGCCATGGTTTGTAATTTCGTTACAATTTTTTATGAACGTGAAAATGATTATAATAGTTGGGGCAGCTAAAAATTCATGTGATTTATTGAAACAAAACATTTCAAATGTTGGACACGACATCATCATTCTACATTATATTATTATAAATAAACAAAATAAACAAGAAATGTCTAACCATTTCAGTCAAAGATGCAGATAGGCACATGCGGCAGCCTCTCTGATGTTTCCACCGCTGAACACAAATTATCAGCTACAAACCAGGAAAGCAGTCAGGAAAGTAGAAATTTTGAGCCAGGAATGCTAACTAATAAAACAATCCCACTTAGTGAGGCCGCGCATAAGACAAGCAATGAATCAGTTGGCGTGATCGGCAACTTGAAATTTGATAATAAAAATATTGAAATCAAATTGCCACCCATTATTGAATCTAATACGAACGGTAATTTAAACTTCGAAAATAAAAATTTTGAAAATAAGATGTCACCCAATTTTGATACTAATATAAACGGTAACTTAAATTTTGGCAATAAAATTGTTGAAACTAAATTGTCTCCAAATATGGGCGCAATCGATTCAACTCCAAAGAATGAAACAATTCCAACTAATGAAACTGTTCAAAAAGCAAACATTGAATCAATTGATAATAACTTGAAATTAAACAACAATAATATTGCACCAAAAATAGCAGAAAATGTAATTCCAAATAATGAAACGACCACAAATAGTGAAGCGACCACAAATAGTGAAACCAGCCAAAGGGCGAGAAGACCAGTAGAAGACAGAAATGAAAACCTAAAGTTTACAGTGAGCGACGATAAAAATTATCTCTACGATGACAACATGAACGTTTGGACCAAGCCTGGAAAAACAGATTCAACAGATTTCGACAACCGTGACAAATCAATTATTGCCATTTCGTTTCCGAACAATGACGAAACAAAATCTAAAATGTTAACAAGAGTTGTTGAAAGAAAGTCAATATACAGTAATTTCATAAAAAAATTCAGCTACGGAAGTATTTTAGGTACTGGGAGTAAAGCAGGTAGCAACTTTATCGAGGAATATGTAACACATGAGAATGAAAATGACGACGATCGAAACACCAAAAAAACGATTCTGAAACAAAATCTGGAAAACACTTCGAAAATCGGCGACGAAGTCATAACTGTAGAAGACCAAATAAGAGACATGGAGAAGTTGGGAATATCATCCATCCACAGCAAATCTATAAAGATCGCTCCAAACTTTGAGACTATAGATAACTCTATACTGGAGGAGATGTCAAAACAGCAACGACCACGAGTGGAATCTATCTATTCTAAGAAGAGCGTCCTTAAGTCCAACAGCAAAACTGACGCAATTTTAATCCAAAATCAACCAAATTCATTTTACCCAACAACTGACCAATCTCAGGTTATTTCACGGCCAGAGTTCACGAAAAGTGTTAAAACTAATGCTTCGTCGGCAAGTGAAGCAAAAGGTTCTTTTAACAATAAATTCTCAAATGTTGGATAAATTAGTTTTTCTGTAGTGATCTGTAAAAAACAAATTTCTTTTATTAGTTACACGACTATCTAAAACTAATAGCTTAAAATAATATTTTTGATTTCTTAACTGTACAACTTTTCGAAATTTATTATTTGATAAAAGTTTGAATTTGTTTTCAGAGGACATCACGGTAGTTGTGAAGTTGATTTTGGAGAACAGGGGAGAGGAGTGCGCTCGGTTACTATCTTCCGCTAAAAACTATCAAATGCGACAATTTTTAATTTATAAAAAAATAATTAATCATGATTATGAAAAAAATTATATTAGTATTGTTTAGTTATTTTGCGGCGTCTTAAACTGCAAATTTATAAGCATTTCAGTTTTGACGATCTTTAGAGTTTAACCTTTTTTTCAAGTTTCCCGTTTAGTTTTCTTATCAAATAAATTTAGTCAATACATATCTGATTAATGTTAGTGCATAATATTACGACGATTAAAATCAAGAGATATGGTCAGTGAACTAAACAAACAACTTCTGGTCAACATGCAAGCAGCAGCAGAGAACATCGAGCTGATGGTCGGCAAGATGAAAAAAGATTTCGAAATGGTCAAAGTTGTTAGTTTTCAAATGTTTCACTTGATCACTGAATTGAATTCAATTACTAAACTTATAATGAAATTAAATTTGCTGAATAGTTTTCATTACAAAAGTGGCCAACAAGAAATTTACAGATAAATAAAAATAGCTTTATACGCGTGTTATGTGCTGTCGAATTAATTTTTTTAATTTATAAGTATTCAACACTTTAATTCATCGAAATAATTCTAATAAACTGAGAGATAATTAACCAATGAAACGACATCTCCACCAGATGTCTGATTCGAGTCCAGAGAACAACAAACCAGCTGATTACCAAACTTCCATGTTAGGATTCTGTCTTTTAATGTAAAAAAAAATATAATCAATCAACTACTTCCTTTTAAAACTAACTTGAGGTAAAAATTTTGTTTGAAACCTTTTAAGCAAATTTTAAGCATAGTTTAAATTTAAATTAAATTAATCTCAAAGCTTTTCGCATAGACATCTGATCAGACTACTAATAAAATGGTTTTGTGTGTTTCATAAAATAAATTTTTGTTTCAAATTTTTTTTGAAAGTTTCATTAGATTTTATTTGATTTTACATAATAAATAAACAAATAAGTATAATTAATTAATTAATTTTTGAAAATTGTGTCAAACCGTCCTGTTGAACGTTCTAGATACACTGGTAGGAAGAAGTTCTGCGCCAGTTCATCATTATTCTGCCCGAAACAAAAGCCGACCAGGAAGAACCAGCACCCAGGTTGTCCGTGCAAACAACTGAAGAGAATTTGCAATTCAGCCTGTCGGATAGTGAAGAATAACCATCCGCAGACACAGAACAAGCAATTGCTCTCCATCCATCGCCAGCAGCAAAGGGTATCTGACTATCAGCATTGTAGTCCCAATCAATCTAATAAACAGCTCGGTAAACATATTTGATAGCCTTTATTTTAAAGATGTTTCCATAATTTCTATGAATGACATCCTGGTTACAAACTCTTAAATAGATACGCGTTTGGCAAACAAATCTCATCAGGATGATAGCGATCAGAAAAAATACCAAGAGGCTATAGAATATTTGCAAAAACAGAACTTACCAGCGTTTCAACTGCGCCAGCTGCAACTTCAACTGCAGCAGCAGCTACAATTTCAACGAGGAAACATTAAAGCGACAACATTTACGAGTCCTCAGAAGCTTAAAAAACTTCGATCATCTGATGAAACCAACGACAACAACATAATCGATGAAATCAAAAATCAGATTCAAAACAATGTTAATGAAGTAAGAAGTGCAACAACAACTCAAGATGTCGCAAGTCACCCTGATCCCGACCTGCAACAAAATGCTGACTACGATTTCTTGAAGGATGAATTTTATAACAACTCTAAAGGTGAATTAGAAGTCGCCGAGAGTTACATTCGCGCCTGCAGTGAAATGGAGAAAGTGGACATGAATTACGTGAAGTGTTATTTGGAATGGATGAAAAAGCAAAACCAGTGTCAGCCGCAACGCAATCAGTGCACACAATTAATTTCCAGATCCACAAAGACGGCAGCTTTGAGGTTGCAAAATGCCAGAAAAAGAATGATAAATAATTATGATAAAAGGTCAGCTTCTCAAAACATGTGTTTGTCTGGTTGTTTGTCCATCTTTGCAATAAACAAACACACGGTAGCTTTAAAATGTATTTCCTTTCTACAGGTCACATATTGCTAATGAGATTTTGTCAAGCTTAATCAATGGCAGGCAAGGCTTGAAAGAAGAGTTGAAAAGTAAGCTTATAAAATTTTCTTTGAAAATTGTCAATTTTGATTTGTTACAAAGTTTGACAACTAAACACCACACGTCTACAATTTAAATGTAAAAAAAGTTGATAACTTTGGACAAAGTGTTGCTTTGTCACCAGAGGACCATATGACGTTTTATATTTGGTGGCATGGTTCAAACGCATAAAATATCATAGGCTCTTGTACAATTCTTATGAATGTGCGTATGTACGTTGCTACCCGCGTGCTAAAAAACAATATAAAGCACTGCACAAATTGCGCTACAAGATTTATAACGTCTGAACTTTTGAAAAACCGCCACAGACGCAGGCATCGCTCGTCGTTGTGGTCTTACAGCAAAACTCAACACTGCAAAATACGCCTATGAAAGGAAATCCACCAACAACTGCTGCAACCTTTTGAAAAATAATTCATTGAGGACTAATGGAAGCAATCACAACCGACCGGACCTTGATCGTAAAAAAGATGGTTTTAGTAAAGAAAATTTGTTTATTTGATTTCAATTGGTATAAAATTTACTTGTCAAAAATAAATATGATGTTATAATGAAAGATTGTAATGATTTGGTGTTAGAATTACATGATGGTGTATTATTATTATTATTATTAATGAATTTATATAGCGCCTTTTAATATTGCTTAAAGGCGCTTCTTGAGCTTAGAGGGATTGATGCACGAAGAGAAACGTTTTCAGTTCCTTGCGAATCTGCTGAACAGTCAATCCTGGTTGACGTAGACTGTCCGGCAAAATGTTCCTAACGGTTGGACCTGCGACTGCAGAACTACGAGTGGCCACCACCAACCGTGTCTTCGGCAATGACAGAAAAAAATTGTCTGAACGTTTCGGAATACGATGATTTGTTGTTAATTTATATGACAAATTTAGACAGATAGTGTGGACCTAGACCGCTTAGACAATTGAACACCAGAATGGCGATCTTGAACAATATTCTTTCTTTGATTGTTAGCCAATGAAAGTCAAACAGGGTGTGGTGTGGCTTACATGGTCAAACTTCAATCCTCCAAAAATGATTTTTACCGCTCGATTTTGAATAGACTGCAAACGATCAATCAGTCTATTGGACCCTCTATAAAAAACAATCTTGCATTAATCCAATTTTGAATGGACAAATGAGTCAGCCAAGCATTTCAGTGTTTCCTTGTCAAGAAATTCTTTTATTTGTCTAGGTCTTCGAAGCTGAAAACGACATTCTTTGGTAAGTGCCCTGGTATGCTGGTCCATTGTCATAGTTTGATCAGATATGATACCAAAATTTTTAACCAACGTACATAAATCGACAACAGTATCGAATTAATTGATTGAATCGTATTGATTGAATTAATACGAATTTTTACTAACTGCTGCCACGTACTAACATGCAAAAGTTGTGTCTTGCTTTCATTCAGCTTTAATTCATTCTCGACTATCCAACCATTGAGTTCATTGAAACAAGAAACAAACGTATCAACTAGCTCCTCGAAAGTGAGAACTGAAGTACTTGAACAACTTTAATCTTCAGGGAAATATCTAAGGCGCAAACACAAAATGATGAAAAATGTCAAAAATGGGATAGAGATCAATATGATGCTTCAAATTTGCGTTGGAAAACATCATTGCTAAACAACTTAGATGGTGAACTGAGAACCAATTTTTTGACATTTTCATCAGAACAAGGATCGAACGTACATAACAAACTTTCGGTTTTCAAATTGCAAGAAAGAAAGGCTGGCCTAGGATTAGCATATTTTTTTCTTTTTCCATTTTTTGTCAAAAAACAACAAAAATTGAGTCAACTAAGTTTATTATTTGACCCAACACAGCCTGTAACGGGATGATTTCCAAACAATTTATCCATTGTAGCCCATAACTTCCTGGGACAAGATTTGTTACCCTGAACCAAATCCTTGAAATATGAATTCATATTTATCGACAAAAAGAGAACTTTTACGTTGCAGAGCATTTATCCAGACCATTTTATTGGTTTTGCTAGTGTGTCGATAAATTTCTTCCAAACTACGGCACAGTTTTCTGTAACTTTGCCGGTTGTTATGAAAAAGTTATTTTTTACATAATGTATCAAAACAAATTTTTTCTAAGTAATTTGTATCAGAAGTTTTTAGAATTAACTTCGTTAACATTTTCTCTTACAAATTTACACAGAAAACGTCAACATATTTTTTAGTTGCTCCCTCAAATACAATTTTAAGAAAGACAACAAATACCAAAACAACGAGATGAACTACGGCATTAACGTTAATAAAAATAACAAATCCGGTATCCATTTTACTGAAAAGATGTCATATGACAAAAATGCTAACAACAACATCAACAAAAGTGACAGCAATATCAACATTGCCAACAAAAACATCAACAAAAGTAACAACAACATCAACAAAAGTAGCAACAAAGGCAACAAAATTAATAAAAACATCAACAAAAGTAGTAACAACATCAACAAAAATAGCAACAAGAACAAAAGTAACAACAACGAAAAAAGTAACAACAACATCAACAACAACAAGAACAAAAGTAACAACAACAACAAAAATAACAACGACATCAACAACAACCGCTGGATGAGCCTCATCAACAAAGACTTCAAACGGTGTAGCTTCAACTTCAAAAATATTAGAACAAGCCTCGGTCCAAAAAGAAAAAAATGTGAATATTGTGACGCGAGCCAACTCATTGCTTCAAATTTCGCAAGATCGTACAAAAACAAACACACGGTAATGAGTCCCTCAAAATCGAAATGTCAAAGACTACACCGGACATTCTTTTCTTACTATCTTGGATCGGGTAATGGCGGTACTGTGGAGTTGTGTTTGCAGTGTATGAATGTATGGTAGTAACAATGGTTTTATGCATGAGTATTCGTGTCTATTAGGGATGCACCGGATTCAGGTTTTTCAAATCCGGCCGGGGCCGGACTTGGCCGGATTTAAAATTCAAAAACCGGCCGGGGCCGGATTTTAGTTACCATTTTACATACGTTAGAAAAAATACTCACATTTACGGTTATCTACATGTTGAACATCAAAAAATAACACCAAGCAAATAGTTAATTAATTCAAATATATGAATAAGCTGTGTGATACGCCAAATTCTGTACACAAAGATCAGCTGAATTTATGCATAACCCATGTTATAGCATAAAGAAAATTGTCCAGCTCATCTCACAATTAGTGATGTTAATATTATGTGTCATGTATGCACGTGCACAAGTTATTTTACACAAAGGTCAGCTTATAATGTATGCATAATCCATGTTATAGCACAAAGAAAATTGTCAAGCTCACCTCACAATTAGTGATGTTGTTATTATGTGTCATTTATGTCTAGCCTAACCTTTAACATACCATGTTGTTAAATAATGCGATTATGTATATATATATATATACATATATATATATATATATATATATATATATATATATTATGTAGCTTTATGATCCGTCATATACAACTATATAGTATAAACACGTGCACAATTCTTTTACACAAAGATCAGCTTATAATTTATGCATAACCCATGTTATAGCACAAAGAAAATTGTCCAGCTCATTTCACAATTTGAAAAAAAGCCGGGTATTGGCCGGAGCCGAACTTCGGTGCATCCCTAGTGTCTATACTTTCACGTTAAAGAGATTTGCATCTGCATTGGATTGTGCTGATAAAGATGTTGTGAACGAGTCTTCAAATACATACACTCGTCACAAATGTTAACACGCACCCATGTTGCACTCTTCTTACGCACATATACACACTCATACAAACACACATACACACTCATACAAGCACACATACACGTACACAAATATACACTCATATATGCACCTACCAGATAACGATCGTTCCGTTTGGCTTCGAGACAAAACAGCGCGTCCATTCTTAGCGCGAAGAACAACTTACATTCAACGTCTGCGAGACATCAAAAATGACGCCAAAGAGAAATCAGAAATGATGACGATCGTACGCCAAAGACTGGCGAACCATCGTCCGATCAGCATGACGATCTGTGAACGACTCTTCCCTTGCATGCTTCCTCAAGAAACACCCTGTTAGTCGTTCTTCTTCTTGTTCCTTTAGTTTTGCAATTTAAAACGTGTGCATACCAAAACAAATAAACACAAAATCACAACGATAACCTGAAACTCTCACCTTAGGTCCAAGGACGTATCGTGAAAAAAAGTTGGCCATCCAGAAACACATGAAAAGAAAATCAGCAGGTAGGTAGGTAGTTAATAACAAACAAAACAAACATAATAAAATAACAAGCATAACATAATTTTTATAACATCCAAAAAAATTTCAAAATTAATCAAATCCTAGCGCTATCCTCAGGATTAATGAGGCTGTCCAGTACGAACGGCAACCATAATTTGAACAACCTGCAACGAAGAGCAACCCCAGCGGAGCAGCGACGACTAACCGTTCAACAGAAACTGGAGAGAAATTGTTGACTGGCGGCAATGAACATTCTTTCGACTTCCACGTCCCAGTCAAAAAACGAAAAAATAATGTTAAATAAAAACGTCTGTTGTTACCGACCAATTAAAAACGCTTCTGGCCTTTTAAAGTTTTTTTTTCCAATACCAACTGGCGGTTTCGTCATGCCTGCAATCATAAAATGTACCCTAATCTAAAGCAACAAATGGCGCCATTTTTCCCAAAAACAAATAAGAAATATTTTCTTAACGGTGTTTTACGCGATTTCTAACTAAATTCTTGTTTAGAGTTAAATTGGCTCACACCTTTAAAGTAATGTAAAACCTAAATTATTTCGAATAATTTTGACACCACTTAATTTTAAACTCTAATAATATTAATCATTGATCTGAACAACTTTCAGACTCATTCAAAAAAATAAATAAAATATTTAAATAATTTAAACATAGCCCTTCTCGTGAGCAATCCCCATAAGCGATGTCTTGACTATTACGGATTGTTACTACTGTTGCGGTTGCGTTTGATGATGAGAACACCGAACCAGAAGATCAGTAAGCGGGAGAAGAAAAGAATAGTATTCGTTTGGATAGGCTGCACACGTGTTTCGTCCCTACCGGGGACTCATCAGCAGCCCGAATACCTATCAGAATAGTTATCGCAGTTTCTTATAAAGCCCGCACTAATCAACTCCTTATTTCGTGGTGTTTTATTTATTAGTCTTTTTCATCGCTAGGATTTTCAATCCGACACTACCTACTCAACAAAATCACCTAGGCAAAAAAGGTCGACGTCATAAAATAAGTACCGATAAGAAAATCAGACAGAATGCTACACATTGGAAAGATAAAGAATGGAGCAAAGAAACTACTGACTGCTGATCCCATATATATATATATATATATATATATATATATATATATATATATATATATATATATATATATATATATATATATATATATATATATATATATATATATATATATATATATATATATATATATATATATATATATATATATATATATATATATATATATATATATATATATATATATATATATATCACCTAGGCAAAAAAGCTAAAATAATATAATTAAGATAATACATATATATATTGTAATAATTAATTAATTTGTTAATATTATGGCTAAGCCTAACAAACATTATATGCAAAATGCTGAAGAAAATAAAACAAATTGGTGAAACATTTTACCAAGAATAACACCACAAATAAGTCACCATAGTTTTGTAGAGTTGATTGTCGCAAAAATCAAATACTAAAATTTCTGATTGTTCCTACTTCAGACTAGGGTCTTCTTGAAACAAAATGTTAGGCCCATGCTATGACATGTTAATTCGTGAATACGTTCTAACCGAATTCGTTATCACGGCAAAGTTTTGTGGCGTTTATAAGATTTTTCATCAAGTTTGTAATCAGTTCTTCGTTGATTACACAATCGTGAGTAATAATTACTAATATATTTGACAGAAAACATTTACCATCGTATAAGTTGCGGTATATCAGGTAAGAAGGTGTAAATGAATGATCTGAATGAAAACGAACAATCAAGATAGATAAATAAATACACAAGAATAGCAATAAAGTGTGCAACTGTCGTTATCACATCATTCTCATCATCATTCTCATCATCATCATCATCCTCATCATCACCATCGCAATCATCATCACTCTCGTCAGATAGAGATTCAAAGTGGACTACAAATGGCTGCTTTCAACCTATCGGCTTCCTTGATGATGAACCTCATCACGTGATCTCTGGGGTCAGCGGAAGTTAAGGTCAGCCGTTTCATTATCATCTCCTTCATGTCGTCCTTGCCGCTCTTGTTCACGCCTCTGGTCACTGCCCGACATCTTCAGTTCACCAGTTCGTAGTGATGGTGGTGTTGGTGTGGATTGAAGAAGTTATTTGTAAATAAATGAGTGAATGTATAAATTAGTTAGCTAAATTAATCAATCCATCAATCAATCATTTATTCATTTATTCATTCAATCAATCAATCAATCAATCCATCGTTCATTCGTTCGTTCATTAAAAAAATGGTTGAACAACGACAACATAAAGGATAATATAATGATATCAATTATGACGTCATCCACTTTGATACAACCAATGATTAAAACATCATCAATTATTAAGTTGGCATAGTCACTTACGTCTGGGGAGTAGAAATCGGAATAAGAAACAAAGATACTCGACTTTCCAAAGATGCTAAATAAGCGAAGTACTCCAAGATATCAACGTCTGAAGAAGAAACACCATCAAATTATTATTAATAATTTATTTTCATTGGTGATTATTTTTCTACATATAAGATTCGTTGGCTCTCAACCAGAGTATCAGTGTGGGAAGCATTAAAGAGATAACATCATGCAGTAAATTATCTCGTCATACTCATATAATGCAAACATAAATGTACATGTATTAAACGCCGATAAAAATGATGAAGATGATGATAATGATAACAACAAAAACAACAACGACGACGACGATGATGATGATGTTGATGATGATGACATTAACGATGACGTGAACAAGCAAAGGAGAGAGAAGAAGTGGACTGACGAGTGATATATTCACTGAAGAGCGTGTAAGCAAAACTTCCCTTCTTTTCAATGCACTTGCGAATATCCATGAACAGTTGTTCATACTTCCGCCAATCGTGTTGGAGCAGGACCAGCATGTGACCTAGTAAAATTATTTTATCGGTTAGAAAATAATGGTAATTAGTACGACAACCAATCGGAAGGCTCGCTGCTTAGAATAATTGAATGACTGACCAATCACGTCATCGGTTACAACGTCAGTCGTTTTCCAGCAGTTAATGAATATTCCTAGCAACTTATCGGCACAGTAATACAGCACATTCTCATCTGTGAGATGCATGAACTCCAATTTTGTTGACTTGTGAGTGAATTTTGGGATTTTTGTTTGAGTTGTCGATGTTGGGGCTTTTGTGGTTGTGGCCGCCTTGTGTTGAAATAAATGTTGATGAGAAGTTGATGGTGGTGGTGGTGGTCTGTGCAGCGATGAGACGCACTGCTTCAGGGAGCTGGTGAAGTTCTGTCATTGAGGTGGTGGAAATAAAAGTGAGAAATTATTAATAACCATTTTAAGAGAGCACCATCAGATTCTGACAATTAGACCAAACAAAACAGCCAACCAACCAGCCAGCCAACCAGTCGACCAACCAAACAACCATCCAACCAACCAACCAACCAACCAGCCAGCCAACTATTCGACCAACCAAACAACCATCCAACCAACCAGTCGACCAACCAGCCAAACAACCATCCAACCAACCAATCATTCATTAAACCAACCTTGAAATCGCACAATCTGTAGAAGCAAACGATCTTTTGCAAGTTCAATCTTTGCTGTGCGTTTTAACGGGTTTAGAAAAAAAAAATTGTTTGTCTCAATAGCGAACAAAAATAAAAATAAATATATATATACATAAACTTCATGAATAAAAATGTAACAAAATGAAAAACTTTTCCTAGATGGATTTCAATCGTCAACAAAAAAACGTTCGCACATCATTAACATCATAAAAAGTATCATAATACCTCCTTAAAATTGAAGAAATCACCAACCCAACGGAACCATTATAACTATCAAAAAAATAACAAAAACTACAAATAACGCAAAAACAACAACAAAACAAACAGCAAAACAAACGAGACCACCAACAATACAGCACTAAAAACAACACGACAAAACCAACAACAACAAATCACCAACAACACAACTAACTGACCACATAGGCTGGGCTAACATCTGACCTAGAATTCGTTTCGAACAACAGCAGGCTTATCAAATTCAGGGCTTCCACGTATCTCTCCTGTATTTTCATGATGATGACAATGACGTAATGATGATGACTATAAGACGATGAAAGCATCGATCAATTGATAAAACAATCAATTAACTGACCAGCAAATCAATCAATCAATCAATCGATCAATCAACCAACCAACCATCCAACCTACCAATCGATCAAACAATCAGCCAATAAGGCACCTGATAAATACAAGCATCTACTTTGAACAATTTCAGAGTACACCAGGATTTTTCGATGTTCCATTCTGAGAACAATTTTTCAAAGACTGTCAATAAACAAACATTAAATAAAATTAATAAAATGATTAATGATCGATTAATTAATTAATTAATTAATTAATTAGACAACAGTACTCACCCTCAGCATTGGCACTGGAGTTCAATACCTCCCAAATGGACACGGCCATCTTGAAATTATCGACGACACCCCCACCATCCTTCTCAATGCTCCTCTTCTTACTTTGCACAGCAACTCGCTCTGCTTCAACCTTTCCCACCTTCCCAACATTCTCGTCAACATTTTTTTCAACATTTTCTTCGGCAAGAGTGTTTTCAGTCAAATATTGTTCTATGTAACTTCTGTCTGGATCACTGGATCCGTCTGCTCTTTTGGCGCCAATGACTCGTTTGAAGTGCTCGGTCATGTAGGGAGTAAACTTTATGTTCATTTTCTGGTCTATCAGTTGCTCGATGTCTAGGCTTTTGTAGAGTTCCAGGCACGGTTTCTTTGACGAGAAACTGTCATTTCACGTGGTGAGGTAGGTTAGAAGTGTGCTTGTTTGTGTGTGTGTATGTGTGTGAGTGTGTGTATGTGTGTGTGCGTGTGTGTGAATGTACATTTTTATATGCAAGTGTGTCCCTTCAACGTGTGCGTGAGTCTGTGTGCGTGTGTGAGTGCGCGAGTGAATGGTTAAACTTATTTAAATAAATTAAGCCAAATTAAATGAACAATTTGATTGAGCATTGATGATGATGGTACATACGGCTGACTGCCATTCTTATGAAATGTTTAACTCATTATTATTATCAGTAGAATTAGTAGCAGCAGCATCCACAAAAGTAACCACAGCAACAGAAGTAGTAGCAGTGGTGGTGGTAGTGGTGGTAGCACGCTCAAAGAAACTATATAAAAATAATAACAAACACACATAGCTGAGGTACGTATCATCATAAAATTTCGACAAGCTTAGCATTCAGACAGAAAACTTACTCATCATCGTCATCGTCGTCATCATCATCTTCTTCATCATCATCATCATTACCAGAAGCGTGTTTGTTCTTCATATTGACGTCACCGTCACAACCGTCGACATCAACCTCATCGTCATCGTCAATCAGAGAAATGACGTCTCCATAGCAGTTCGATAGTGATTCTACTAAACAGTATCCACCTGGTGGGTGAATTATTAATGGTGAAAATATTTCTTCAACGAACAACTTATTGTTCATCTTAAATTTTCAACATCCAACCAAATTAGAGAAACAACAACAACAAAAACAAACTCAACAGACCAACAACAACAAAAACGAACTCAACAAACTCAACAAACCAACAACAACAAAAAACAAACTCAACAAAGCAACAACAACAACAAACTCAACAAACCAACAACAACAACAACAACGACGACGACGAGAAACACACAGACCATTGCCAAAACGAGCAGAGTCGTCAACATCGGCTACGGCATAAACATCACTGAAGACACATGATGAGTATTTATAAAAGTACTCGATAAAACAGATGAGGCATGCTGTCATCAGTTTCGACTGTTCGAAATGCTCTAGGGGGGTGAAGGTTTGCAACTTTTCATTCAACACGTCAATCCTACAGTCTTTGTAACTGTCAGGTTCAAAACGTTGGTTGGAGGACTTAATTATAAACATAATAATTATTATTATTATGGTCGTTACGATGACGATGGTGATGATGAAGATGACGAACCTTAGACGCCTAAAGATAAGTTCAACATCTACCCATTCAGCCCATCTCGCCAACTTAATGCAAAGAGCTGTCATGTCCTTATAAGTGCACATGCACTTGTTAGGAGTACTCGAGTCCTCTGTCACGTGTGAATTTATAAAAAAGCAAATTTACATGATTATTTATTTAAAAAATTGAGTTATTCAATAAAATAATAGTTAATCAACAATTTTATTGATGGTGTTTAAAAGTTTCAATTTTTTAACCGGATAATGATGAAAATTATTAAAAAAACTGTTCCAACGGGACCACAAAAAACCCAAACATTATAGATGTATGATGCAAATTATACTGCACAAACAAGCAGCATACGTGAAACTGAAACTTTGATTAACAACTAAACACCTCAATCAAAATAACCAATCCCATTCTCATGATAAAAACAGTGATGATAAAAAGTATATATATATATATATATATATAAGTATATATATATATATATATATATATATATATATATATATATATATATATATATATATATATATATATATATATATATATATATATATATATATATATATATATATGTTGGTAATAGACCATAATTTGTACAATATTCTATAAATTCTATATATATAAAATATATATATATATATACATATATATATATATATATATACCGAAGATGGTATAGGAATACCGAAAAAAATTTCTCTGTTCTATCAAACAAAAATTTTGGTTTTGAACTAAAGAAACTTGAAAATGATTTACGATCAAATGTCAGAAAAATCAAAAAGTTAAATTGGAAGTTAACTAACGCCGAACATATATAACCATCATAATATATTATCATCATTTAAAATCATCATCTTTAACCTATTGCTACGATCATCATCACCATCATTATCATCATTATCATAATCACCACCATCGTCATCACCATCATCATTTATATCATCACCATCATCATCATCACCACTACCATAAACATGATCATAACCATCACCCGTTCTCACTTTTGCCCAGCAGAAGTAAGGCGTAATAGTTGATGACAACGTGTAGCCAGAGGAATGTCTGGTAAGGGGTGGAGTGTGGTGGATAGTAGCCGGTGTATGACATGGTTGATTCGTCCGTTTCCACAGCTTCAGTGGTGGTCCTTAGCATCACGGGCAACACTTTCAAGACTGGAGTGAGTAGGTTTTCGGTTGGGGAGTGGTGCTTTGTGGCGTGTTTGCAATGTCTTAGTATACATGGTGTGGCTAGTGTGTGATAGTGTGGCGTCTGTGGTGATGCGGTATGTGTGTGACACAACTAAGAAGCAGCTAAAAAGACAACACAACAACAACAGAACAAACACACACACCCAAATATTCCCTGTATGGATTGATTGGTTGCTGATTGTATTCTCTTTTCTCGGCAGCAAGCAGCATCTCTATGCAATCTGTCTGTAAATGTTTGAATTTTGGTATGTATATACATAGGTATATTTTTTGTATTGGATGTATATCATTTTAAACATGTTTTTATATGCATACCATGTATGCTGTTGACATCATACATAACTTTTGTATACATATCATATGTTTGTATGCAGCATACAACAGGTGTGTGTATATATATATATATATATATATATGTTGGAAATAGACCATAATTTTTACAATATTCTATAAATTCTACCGAATGTATGGCGTTAATACGTAAATTCTACCGAATGTTTGGCGTTAATATGGCGAATGTTTAACGCCAAACATTTGGCAGAATTTATAGAATATTGTAAATATATATATATATATATATATATATATATATATATATGCGTATGTGTGTTAATAGGTATAAAAATAAGGGATATAAATAAAAAATGTACAATACCAGTTGCTCGTGCAAGTTATTATTGAGTTCTAGTAGCTTGTTGTCGGGCAAATTTGATTGTGTAAACATTTGATCCAGAGCATAGACCAACAATTTGCATTGTTGCAACATGGTTGTTGATGATGTTAGTGTCGTTGATGATATCGTAGGTGATGTCGTTGTTGATGTTTTCGCTAATGCATCAAACATGTGAGGTAGGAGGATGTGTTTTAACGGCACTGACAGACTGTCAAACACTTCTGTTGGATGATGATGATTTGATCGTAGTGATGATGATTTGATCGTAGTGATGATGATGATGATGGAGATTGTAGTGATGATGGAGACTTTTGGTGACGTCACTCGACCAGTCAATCAATGAACCAATCAAATGATAAATTAACATTTAAAATTTATTCAAAAATTTAATGTCATATATGTTGACTACAAAAGTTATTATAACTTGCTTCAGGATTTTCCTAATAGAAATATTTTTAAAACATTGAATTGGTAACTGACCTTTCATGAACTTTCGTTTTGCCACACTATCTCCAAAATTCCCCTTACAAAATCCATTATGATCTCTCTTTCTATTTCTTCTATCATCTTCATCATTATTTTTTGTGGAAAAGTTTCTATCCAAATCAACCTCCCTCGTATCATCATCGTCGTCGTCATCATTAACATCTTTAATAACACTACCACATTCATTCTCATTGGAAGGACTTTTTGATGAATTGATGATTTTGACATCGTTACCACCAACCACGATGGACTGGTAATGATCAACGTTGGCAGTAGTAACAGCAGTTGAAGTTGTAGTGGTTGCAGTTGGGAAAAAATCATCAGCCACACAATCAGCAGCAACAATGCCATCTAGCATCAATTTTATTTCCTGAAAGACTTTCAACTTATTTGGGAAATGGATAAACCTTTGCGTGAACAGTTTTTTTATATTAAATTAATTGCAAAAAATTGCTATTCAATAAATTTTGATTTTAATACATTAATTAAAACCAAAAAGTTATCAAGATGGTCATACTCATAAAATTTATCATCAGATATAAAAAGTTTTATTCGGTAATTTTTTATTATTAAATATTTAAAGAGATTTCAAAATTGTAAAAAAATAAACAAAATAATCAATCCTTAACCGGTAAAAATACTGAAATAAATGAAAAAGTTAACATTAAAATAAATTAGAAAAATAAGTTTATAAGTGGCCAATACGAACATTTCTTCAAAACTCCTAGCTGTTCCAGCGACATTTTTTGCTTTCTTTTCCATCTGATACTTTTTCAGCTGAGCGTAAATTATATAAAATTATAAATTACATAAAAAAATATATATTTTTTAGTAGATATCATAATAACACAACAAAGAATTTGAGTTCTTTTCAAAAATAATTTTCTATTAAAATGAAATTTTAATTTTTTTAAATTTTAATTTAAATTTTAAATCATTTAAAAAAATTATGAATCATTTTAAAAATCATTCTCAACGTCAAAATCATTCTTATAAATTAATACATGAATCTCGAAGCTGTTTGGGAAGAGAGCGCTGGCCACCACCAGCCACGATTTTGTTGCATATTCTGGTTCAACTCCTCCATGGGCAACTGAACATTCCGAAACTGATTGTGATTCCTTCTTCAGCCAATCAAGTTCTTCCGATGTGAACAACTTCATTACCTTCAACTATTTAATTTTTTAATCATAACATAACATAGAATTTATTTAAAAACAGATTAAACTAATATAATACGGCGATTTGTTCAATTTCATTAAATTTAAAAATTTGTATTTAAGTTCAAACTTAAAAAATGATAAAAGTTAATTTAAGTTTGAAACGCAAAAACAAATTAGACAAACCATATAACTAAGATAAACATGGATATATATAAATAATATATAAACATGGATAAACACACACATTATATCCATTTGATCCATATATTAGAATAAATATAACGGCCTTCGCTCATTTTTGACGGTCGAACAAGGAGCTTACTTCCGGAGGGAAATTGAAGGGGGATTTTTTTATCGCCCAAGTCAAAAGTTACGATCGTATATTTACTAATTTCGGAATATTGCTTTTATTTAAAATTTCAAAATGTTTTAAAAGGTGATACTAGATGCTGTTTTAGGATAGATATTGCTGTATGACGGTTAAGTATCTTTTTGCATTTTAAATAAAAAAAATATTTTGTAAACCACCAACAACACTTAACTCATTAACTGTAACAACACTAAACGACGACTAATTAGTAATTAAATTACTAAACTATAATAATTAAGCTAAAACTAAACTCTACTGATTCTAATTACTAATTGAAATAAATAACAGATAACACTAACGAACATTAACAGATTAGACTACTAGAAACTACCAACCACTACACTACTACATACTACTACTACAACTACACTAACGACTAACAGCACTTGTTCCTAAGATCCTAAATTCTATTGCTTGATTGGTTTTAAAATTTTTATTTACAATACTTAGGTCTGGGAATAAAAAATATACTAAATTAAATAAATATGTTAAACAACTTGTCAATCAATTTTATAAAATAAACAATTTTGTAATTTGTTCAATTCAAGCTTCAAACTCCCCAAGCTAACTTGCAATTTAATTAAAATTTATTAATTATGAGTGATTCAAACTAAATTTTTTTGTATTTAATGTTTTACAAAATATTCCTCATTCTTAAATTGTAGTACATGTTGTTATTAAATTTATTAAAGATAATGTGTGACTCCAGTGATTCATCAATCCATGACTTGTTAGATCATGATCATTCAGTTTTAAAGAATCCCCATCACCATAACCAATGAGGTTTGTAAAAATTGTACTTTTAATTTATTATATTTTATGCACTTAGAATGTTGTGTTATTAATTATTATCATTAATTTATTAAATGCTGTGCATACCTATGGCAAGTAAATAAAATTATTAAGCATAGAAATAGCCACAATCAAATTAATTTATATAGGCATGAGTATAATTTGGATAATAATAATTAAAAATATCGGTATCATTGAAAATGGATAAAGTCATAAATAAAAAAATAAATCATAAATTGCTAAAAATAATAGTTCCAGTAAGATTTTGCCTTACACCTACATCTTTTTTTCATTCTTATATTATAATAAATGTTTGTTATCAAATATATCAAGGATTGATTTCTCAATCCATGACTAGATTGAATGTCATGATCCTACAGTTCCAGAGGATCCCCATCACCATTAGTCAATAAGGTTTGTAGAAATCACCCCAGGCATACCATCAATGTTTTGTAGCCACCTCTTAATGTAGTGTTAATAAAATGAAATTGAGAATAGTTATTTAAAACAATCTTATTAAAATTATTGAACAGGTATGACAAGATTACTTTCTTAATGTCCTAGTGTGAGGAAGATGTAAGCCATTTGTCCAAAGATAATCATATGCCTTATGCCCATACAAATGCAGTGTCAACACGAATGATTTTTGATCAGAGTCATATGTTCTAATTTTTTTAAACTTTTCCAGAAATTTTTCTGTTAATTTATTTGTTACATTAAATACTTGATGTGTATTTCATATAAAAACTTGATTATGCCAATTTAGTTAACTTGTTAAGCATTAATATAAAATTGACTCTACTTGTAATGGTGATTGGTATGATGATGATGATCCCAGTCCTAAGCAGGGTTTATTATTCACAATGTCATTATGCCCTTTCTAAGTTTTAATAAAATACATGGAATATTGTTGAATGCATTTTATATTTTTTGTATAGATAAGAATGTTGCAATGTACAATGATGATGTGAATTGCTTCCTTGTGTAACTGATGACATATAAATATAACTAACTTGAAAACATGGGAATGCTTTCTTCAGCATTACCTTCCTTTCTCCATCATAACCCTTATAATCTTTATTACAGAAATGGTCACTGCATATTCTTGCATTTTTTGATGGAAGCCAATTGAAATCATTTATTTCCTGTCTGATGCACTTAATCCAATCGTTTTGCATTTTTACATTTTGAGGAAATCTGAAATTTTATAAACTGTTACAGAAACTTGTGCATTTCTTAAGTATTGCTTTTAATAATAAAATGGTAATCCATGATAGCATTATAAATTATAATAGTCTATAAAATAAAATATATGTAATTGTAAAACAAAATAGTTCTATTCAATGAGTATAGGGATATTGTTACATTTATTTTAGTGTGAAGTTAATTTGAAAATAAACCTGTGAAAAGATGCATCAGAAATTTTCTCATTTCTATTTATTATTAATGCAATTTTTAATGCAACAGGTAGGCATGTTTGTGTATAGCTACGAAAATAAAAATTTACTTAAAAACTAAATTATTGTATCTGACACGAAAATTAGTACAGAAACAAAAACGAAAGAATAAATGACAATATAAAATTTTAAACATTGATTGAAAGAGTTTATTCTAATTATATGGTATGGGCAATTCGTTGCGAAATCGTTGGAGGAAATGGTGTCAACAGTAGTTATTTTACTGCATGGTAGAATCAGCCGGTATAAAGGTTATATTCAATTCCTATCAAATAAATTTGACAAAATATACACAGGCAGAACTAAATAAAGAAATAGACATGTAGTTATAATACATTTATAATGTTGTATTTACACATTCAAATTGTACAATTCTGTTATGGTGTAGTCTCAAATTATTTTAAATTCTCTCAGAAAATTTTAAACGTTTTACTACAGTATATATACTAGTTATTATTATCAACAATTTAAAAATTTTATCAATAATTAAAAAAAAATTTCAAATTGATTTCATTGCGATATCACTAATGATTTTTGTGACCTGACTGATTAAAAAGCATCAAAGAAAGTTAAAATAGGATGGAGAATTTGTTATATTGGGATATTCGTTTAAAAAGCGAGCAAAATTTTAATATAAAAGCGCTTATAAATCTATGCATATTGGCTCAGCTTGGCTTGGCTCGGCTTGGAATTGGATGTTAAGCAAGGTGTGGTCTCAAACAATTTTGAATTCTCCCCGAAAAATTTGAGCTGCGTGCTTACATATATAGCATTGATTACTGTTGCTTTTATAATGAATTTTTATTATATATATATATATATATATATATATATATATAAAGTGACTATAATCCATGTATACAAATAATTAAATTATATTATATTAGATTATGTTTATATGAAAAGCAATATAGCAGATTCAACCAGCCAACCAGAAAGTTTCGAAGGCGTTCGTTCGATGACTTCAATTTAGTACGGTTAGCATTTTGGTTAAGACTGTATAATAGTGTAGTACATACATTAAATAAGTTTTTTATTGATGTGAATGATTGAAATGATGAAAATGTATGGTTGAAACGGGTATAAATAGGAGCTGAAAAAACGTTGAAATCAGATCAGGCATTTCTGCCTCGCTCGAGTCGGAGTGCCTGATGTCATTTTTTTATATTTATATTTTTTTAATTAATTTATTTTTATTTTATATAGAGTTATATAGAGTTTGCATGTCTGTGGTTTGTGTGTTTGTATGTTGTATTTTTTTATATTTTAGGTGGGTTCTTTAGCGGTTGCTCATACATACATACATACATACATACATCATGTTTGTTTGTGTGGTAGTATTTTATGTTCTGTTTTACTCCTTTTTCTCTTTCTTCATGAGTCTTGAGTTAAGTTAATGAAGCATAGGTAGGTGAGGTAAAAATTAATTTATTATATAGGTAGGCTAGGGCATAAGGTAATTTAGTTACATAGGTAGGTTAGGGACTCCTATTCTTTTACTCTACTTGGTGGTGTGATTTTTGTTTTGTGTATTTTTTTGTTTTATTTCACATCATACATTCAGCAGGTACGCGGTGGTTCCTGATTTTAGTGGGATTTTTATTGATTGAATGTGGTAGTATGCATGGTTATATAGAGTTATATAGAGTTATATAATAGAGTTATATAATAGAGTTATATAATAGAGTTATATAATAGAGTTATATAATAGAGTTATATAATAGAGTTATATAATAGAGTTATATAATAGAGTTATATAATAGAGTTATATAATAGAGTTATATAATAGAGTTATATAATAGAGTTATATAATAGAGTTATATAATAGAGTTATATAATAGAGTTATATAGAGCATAAATTCTATATAGATACCTTTCTTTGCTCTTCTTTTCTCTTTTCTTCGCCGACCGGTCGGTTTCTTTTCGATTATTTTCATTTAAATTGAATAAATAAGATTTTTCCATTCATTTAGGTTTTTCAGGTTCATTTATCCAGGTTGAAGCTTCCAGAGGAGTTCATCGTGGATGATCAAAATGGTTGTGATGTCACGCTACGTTCGTTCATTCGGTTGCAAAGAATGCACGCCCTGCTGGGGTACGTTTTACGGTTTCTTTGCGGTTCTTTTTTTGCCAGTTGGCTGGCTTTTCCGGCGGGTTTCACCGCGACTCGTTTTTCTTTTTTCATTTAAATTAGTCAAATAAATAAGATTTTTCCATTTCATCAATTTTATTCAGGTTGAAGCTTCCAAAGAAACTCGTCGTGGAAGATGTCAGGCTACGTTCGTTCATTCAGTGGCAAAGATGATACGCCTGGCTGGGATACGTTTTATTCTTTTTTCTCTGTTTTTTCTGTAATTTAACATTAAGTAAGAATGCTCACACGCACACGCACATACACACAATTACATTAAGTAGCTATATAGGTAGGTTAGATAGGCATAATTTTAATTGTAAGTAGGATAGATAGGAAGCATCCAACACTAATGTAGTTGAATAGGTAGGCAGCGTAAGTTTATCTCTTCTATTTTTTTCTCGCACCCACATTACACGCATCAGCGTATTATACACACACACAAATACATACATAAACACATATTAGTATTTGAGTGTTATTTTATTTTCATTACATATTCTAATTTATTATTACAAAGGTTGAGAGTAATTTAATTTCATAGGTTGTTAAAAGCAATAATTTAATTCTAGGAACAATCTTGTAATTTAAATTAAATAAACGCTGTAAGTGTATCGAGAGGTAAGTTAGTTATTAAGTTTTACATTATTATTATTAGGTTGGAGCCCAAGGCATTACGTAGGTGGTGGGGTGGGTGCCGAAAGGCCACTGAATTGGGCTCTTGAGTTTTGTAATTTTAGGTAAGCTAGGGCCATAATGTAATGAATAGATAATTTAAAGCTACGTTGTAACACACACTCATTAATAGATTTAGGGTTTAAGTTTTATATTATTACTAAGTTGGAGCCCAAGGCATTACGTAGGTGGTGGGGTGGGTGCCGATTGGCAAATGAATTGGGCTCTTGAGTTTTTTTTGTAATTTTAGGTAAGCTAGGGCTTAATTGTAATGAATAGGTAAGTTGAGGGCACGATAGCCGATAGACTCTGAATTTCGAAGTCTGTTGTCAGAGGTAAGCCTTGGTGGCCAGTGGTGTACCGGCAATGGTTTACTATCCGGACGGCAATGGTTTACTATCTGCACGGTAATGATTTACCATGCGGCTCGGCCATAGTCTACTACCCGCACGGCTTCCGGACGGCAAATGGTTTACTATCCGCACGGCAATAGTCTATTATCCGCACGGCAATGGTTTTCTATCCGGTGCCCTGGCTGTCGGTGAACCTCTGTGCAAGGAGGAAGAATGAAGGGGGACTTTCGACTATCGTACCATTAACAATTTAATACAGATTAGTTAAGGTAATTGAATAGGTAGATAGGATTATTTTTATTAAACAATTTAAGATGCAGGCACCGCTAAGCTTTCTTATGAGAATCTACTCTTTCTCTATTTTTCTCCATCAACACGGGCTGTGTTTCAACAACAATCTCGAGGAGGACTGGCACCAGTTTTGGAGGACAACGTAGGAACCGGACCGCATTCAACATTCTGTCTTTGTCGTATGGACGACGGTAAGTTTTTTTTACATTTTACTTATTTTATTATTTTAAAATTTTATTTATTTGACATTATTTTCATTTTATAATTTAATTTTTTTTGCTTCTAAGATTCTAACATTCATTTACTACTACGCAAATAAAAAAATTTTGTTTACAGAATGATGAGATATGGGCAGTGGTGGGAGTCAGCACGTTTTAGATGGTGGTCTCATGATGATTTACATATGATGATGGTGGTGTAGGAAGAATCAGCTCGTTGGCTGTTCGACTGTTTTTTATTTTTCTCATTCGTTCATTTTATCACTCAACTTTTTAAATTATTCTTCTATTAATTGATTCGTTAATTCTTCTATTCCTTAATTGAATCATTGATTTATTAATTCATTCATTCACTCATTCATTCAACCAATTATTCAATCATTCAGTTAATCATTTATTCGATCGTTCCTTTGTTCCTTGATTTACTAATACGCTATTAAAAAAATGTCTACAGAATGATGAAAGGTCTCATGATGATCGTTCCGATTACAATTCGAAGATAACAACAACGACGGTTTTTGAAGTATGATTTAGTTTCTTTATTTTATTTTTCTCATTCATTCATTCATTTTATCACTATCTTTCAAATTATTCCTCAGTTAATTTATTCATTGATTCATTCTATTCATTCATTAAGTCATTGGTTGATTAATTAGTTAATTTATTCATTCAATCAATCGTTCAATCACTCAGTTAATCATTTATTCGTTCATTCCTTTGTTTCTTGATTTACTACTTCGCTAATTAATAAAAACTTGTCTACAGAATGATGAGAGGTGGGCTGTGGTGGGCGTCAGCACGTTTCAGATGGTGGTCTCATGATGATCGTTCCGATACAAATCGAAGATAATGTTAAAGGTAAATTTGTTTTTGTCTCATTGTACCTTTGAAAGTACTCGAATTTGAGCAAAGATTGAGTGTTATCTCAAAAAGATAAGTTGTCTATTTTTTCCAATTGCTTGTTTTTTATTTTCGTGAATTAATTTTTTTTTCAATTTATTTTTCAGTATCATTCCATCGATGCGTGTCAGATGATGGTCGGTGCAATGGAGG